TTGAACCGCACCGGACAGCGTCACAGCGATGATTTCATTGGCCGGTGAGAAATGTCGTTGTGCGATTCAATGCAAGATTGGCAGTTTTGTGTGTAGCAAAGTTTGCGTAATTTTTATGTCGTGATGTTTTAATAAAATAAACGTGATTAAAGAGGAGAATACTGCATGGCAAGTGTTTTGTAATGTAGGTAAGTTGTTAATAAAGCGACGACTTTAGGTATTTCTTTGATTTTCTATGTAACACGGCCGTAAATAGTGAAAAGGTTGTCATGCATTTTGCATGACAGAATTCACAGGTTTTGTCTATGGATGGCTATTGAGCCCTAAAATAACATCAGAATATAAAAAATTTTAGGGCACAATTTATTGGTCTAAGCAGTGCACACTCGCACTGAGTGACTGATTGAGTTTCGCTCATAGGGTCTATGTCCCCCAGGGTGCTGCCGGAACATACCCTGGTAACTATCTGATATGGCTAGGGTTAGGGTCAGGGTTAGGGAGTAGGCGTAGGCGACTCCCTAGACTTGTTAGTGGAGTAGGCGTGGTACGGTCCGGCATATTAGATAGTACCAGCAGAGCATATAAATCACGTTGATTTATATGCTCTGGTACCAGGGTACGTTCCGGTATACCGGACCGTACCCTGGGTACGTTCCGGCAGTACCCTGGGGGACATAGGTCTCTCAGCCTGAGTTTCAGCCATTCTGATTATTGAAAGTATATTCATAAATTATTATACAATATTCTATATATTTAAATGAATAGGCCTATAGCTACTATTTACGTGTTTCTTTTTACCGTGATGAGCTTACTTTTACAGTTTACAAGCTCGCGTTGTTATTTTTACCAATGATAACAACATATAAACCAATAAACAAATAATATAAAAACGATGTTTCGAATTATGTATTACCTTGAGCTTATTGTCATCTCTGAAGTGTAATATGTAATCTGAATAATAATAGTACTCATTGCATTTGTAGATGAGGCAGGTGCAGCAGCAAGTCAGGGGATTCCACCAGACCTCGGCTGTCGCATCAAGTCAACTTTTTGTGGTAATTAGCTAAGTCACTGTAGAGTTTTAATTAAGGTGCACATGGGAAAAAATCTAACTCTAACGAAATCATCTTATGAATTCGACAAAGCTAGTGTTAGCATATATATGCAAAAAGTGAATTGGTGAATTGGTGTTTTCGTAGATGCGGTTGTCTGAGATATTCAAATTTATCTACTTAACCATATCAGGATTTTAATATTATAGTATTGTTATCATTCAGAAAGTTTCCAATGAAACAATATTTAATTTACGAATGTTTTAATGTTTGTTTGAATATTTTCATAAACCCGAAATTGAGCAGGGCCTTGCACTAGTAGCAACATATGTCCTACAGCCGGTTGTCTACTTGCATGTTGTTTGTATATTGTACAGCACAGAGATGATGATGTGGATGAGCCGTTTGACTTCACACCAGAAACTCTTAAGGTACGCAATTAATTAGTTTATCAATTTTAATAACTCAAGAATCTTTTTTATGTGAGAGGTATTCGCACATACATTTTCCTGAAGTGAGACCCTTAGGTACGATTCTGTGATATTCGCTGTTGAGTCGGTGAAGTGTTTCTAATTGTGCTGGAAAAGACTCTCTTGATCTCATGCTTGAGTATATGTGATTTCACAATTAACATTTGATCATTGTCTCTTATGAAACGTGTATAAACCAGATATTCACTGTCCAGAATTGTCCAGATACACAACATGTTCATATCGTATAAATATTTAAAAAAAAAGATTATTTATTTATTTATTTAGGCAATTATCCATCATATACAATACATAGCATACTTTTACAATAAAATTCTGAATTCATAAAATTGGATAACTACCATGGATATATACAGAAAAAGTATGACTAGCACACTTATTTACATTGGGGTCCTTGTATACTTTTCTTTATACTGTAGAAAGCAGAAGCTGTTATCAGCATATATCCAAAAGGCTTTCAAGCATCTGCAGTGATTCCTGTGTTGGATCTAGCACAGAGACAGCATGGTAATAATATGCATGATGGAGTCATTGCAAATGACGTAAATTAGAATTGCTATGTTGAATGTACAGCAAATTCTAGATTCATTCTAGCAATTTGAAATTTTATCCACTCCATTGAGTTTGATGTCAAAAATAAAAGTAGAATTTAGAACTCGTACATGGAATTTAGGTTAAAGAAAGGAATTGATTTTGCATTGTTTTTGATGAAAACACAAATTAATAATAACGAACATCCTAGTAGCCAAAGTATCCTAGAACCTTCATTAGATTACACTGAAAATTAGTGTCATAAGTATCAGTAGGCCTATCTGAATCAGTGAAATTACGATTTAATCCTGGCGATTTTACCTATTTGCATTTTCACTATTTATATACCTACAGGCCTATCACACATTGCCATCTGTTTTTCACAGGTTGGCTGCCCATCTCTGCTATGCACAAGGTTGCAGAGCTGCTAAAAATGCCCAGGATAAGAGTGTATGAGGTAGCTACATTCTACACAATGTTCAACAGGTACATACGAGCATTCCAACTGATATGAATTTCCTCTGGTAAACGGGCTGGTAGGCACATGCTACATGAGTGCCTTCTATAGGCAGTTTTTTGTCAAGTTTGTGAAATATTTTCTCTGTTGATATGTGATATATTATCAGGAGTCTATAAATAGATAATTGATAGACTCCTGATATTATGTGAAACCTTTTGTGTTATTAAATCATGTAGACACAGACTTTGTAGTTGGTAAAAGTGTTGTTGTGTGTTATTTGTTTATCATATTGTTGATGTTCAGGTGTCTGCTTTGTTAATAGTATATGTTGTTTGTGAATACTAACATGGCAGTTTGATATCCAAGCACTTGTGCATGTTTTCATTTGTTGCAGAAAGCCAGTTGGGAAGTACTTTGTGCAAGTGTGTACGAACACGCCATGCCTGTTGTGTGGGGGTGATAATCTACTGGAGGGTGTATCCGCTAAGCTAGGTAGGTCTGTTTATGCACTGGCATGCTCTGAGGCAACATATGTTTACTTGTATAGCTTTTACATTATTTTGTCGTGACTTCTGCTCACTCCTGTTGAATGAATATGTCACGAGTCTCTACACTATCATGTTATTACATGTCCTAATGAAAAATAGAAATGTTAGTAACCTTTGAAAGTATTTATCATAATATTAACATTAATTTCCTGTAAATCTCGAGGTTTAATCTGAGTTGTGTCTGAGCACGCATGCATGCTGCTAAATTTTATTTTATGTCAAACATCTTCGCATGGTTCTTGTAGCTTTTGTTCTGCATAACCTTGTGTTTCATTTTTGGTTCTTGGCAAGTTCTGGGTTGGCTTCAAGTAATCACAATTTTTAGATTTTCAATCAGCACAAGGATTGAAAAATTTATATATTCAGTCTGTGGCAATATCACGGTTTTTCTCACGAATAATATGCGGGTTGCCAGTATCTCACGATCAGTCATTGGTTATATGGCCGCCTGCGGTAAAAGTTCTTTGATGTTGCTCAGTAATTCGGAATGTTATTATTCCGAAGATATTGTTGAAATAAGAACGGGAACGCATCTTAGACCGGTATTACGCAGTTAATGTCATCAGCTAACAATAAATTCTGTTATCGTCTTGTGTGTTGGGTTCACGCCGAATTTTATTGGGAATTTCCTTGCAGATCTTGACACAAATGAGACGAGTGACCGTGGCAGTCCCGAAATGCCTCGTAGCCTAGTAGCTTCATTAACTTTTGTTGAATCATTGTTATCACTTATATTTATCGTCCTGAGAACTGTATACGGCTCCCTGTGCTAGGGATTGTATCGTGAGCTACCGGTATCGGGTCACACCCCTACTCATTGTTGAAGCGTGCACGGTGCCCACGATTCTTCCTGATGTTATGCTCTCTGCAAATACAGCTAATACGGGCCTTCGGCAATGCCTACCCTACTGCATTTCAGGCATCAAGGTCGGAGAGATGACAAAGGACAAGATGTTCTCGCTTTCCGAGGTTGAATGCCTCGGCGCCTGCGTCAACGCGCCTATGATGATGGTTAACGACGATTACTATGTGAGTACTCGCACACAGTGACACCCGGTCCCATCAAGCGTCCATGAAAACCCCCCAACTAAAGCAACCGCGATAATCATGGCAAGGTTCCATGAAAAGCCCAACGGAAACCACCCCCTCTCACAATAATCCACGGAAGGCTGTCTGGAAGTTTATTTAGAGAAAGTATACGCAGATCTTCTTAATTACAGGAAGGTTAATGTATTAAAGTGGATAAACCTTGCAACAAAAAGCCTATATAGACCTACTGTGAGCATACTTGCAGTGTGCAAACATCACAAAATGTTCTCATTGAGCCAGATAAGTGCTACAAACATTGGGATTTTCAAAATTACGTCCGATGTTGTTATGTCACACAGCTAGCAGTAGCCCTACGCTAGCGCAAAATAATTCCTGGAACGAAAACACTACATTTGTTTCCTGATTGCATAAGTAATATAGATAACAATATGATTTAAACAAATTTCACAATTTTGTACTGAATAAGCATATAATAATAAATTATAACTTGTTTTATCGTAGAAAAGAACTTTTAACGATCGCTCCACTGTGTCCCGGATGTGTAAACATCACTGTGGAAGAGATAAGTAATTTCGTTTAGATTTTGAGAAGAAATGTTCTGAAAGTAGCAATACAAATGAGCTCTAGTGAATTTTTGCAACATAGACGAGCTCACAGTGGGTCTATATATATGCATTTAGCTGCGTGCGAGGTTAAACAACTTTAATGCGTATACATTGTAACATTCCAAGATTCCAGCTTCAAATTCATGATTATAATTTTCACCAGGTGGCGCTAGTGTGTTAGTGTCAGCTTATAGTGTGTTTGTAAAGCACTCAATGTCTGTTGAATGTATTACTCCAAAATTGTATTTCTTACTTAACGTGTGGCTAATTTTGCTGCAGCTACCTTGTTCAGCAAAATTGCCACTTTGTTGGAAAACTTATTGTTTAATAACTAATTATAATAGTTATTACTTAATTATAAGCCAATAATTATCATAGAAGGCGAAATTTAATAATGTATATTCTAAAGATATTAAATATCCATTACATAAATTGTCCTAAAGTTTCCTATTTCTGCTGAGCTGCCTTGTCCGCTCTGCTTGTGTGAATACATGCTTTCGCAGGGAAATGTGATAAGCTTAGATTGAACAGGCGATTTTGAATGGGACTCTACATGCTGGATCTACATCGATCTATCACAGTACAACCTGTCTCGTCTGCTATGTCTAGATTTGTTTTATCCAGCAGTTAAGTACACACTTACACGGCTATGAATATTCACCCGTTTTGCGCTGCAAAAGTGAAATGCGCGGCATGGCCTTGAGCGTTTGTAGGATAAAGGAGACACAAAGTGAGAGAAAAACACACGATAACTGAAATTTTCTGGAATTTCCTCGCAATTTCCGAATATCCCATTCGAATACGGTCTTGAGGCAGGCCCGCCTTGCTCATACAGCTGCTACAGACTGGCTTACCTCCGCTGATAACACATGTGACCAAATAGTTTCCGTTGTTCGTGAAGAACAAGATCTGCTGGTGTTAAAACGATGTTGAGCTGCAATGTCAACTCGATATTTGTGAACGAATTTCTGAGTCGCCGGTTTTAATCAACGCTGCACGTTGTTTTATGAGAGTGTTAAGTGCAAGGAATTTGGTTCTTTTATGTGCATGTAGCGAAAGATATTGGTCATTTTATTCCAGTGCCCACCCTTATCCGTAAATACAACTACATACACACACACACACACGCACGCACATCATATATATATATATAGCTCTTGTCGGATACAAAGAAGTGCTCTGCGTTGTTGCGCCCTGTGTATACAGCGCTGTTAATAAAAATTGGTTCGGATAAATGTTTAATGAGCGAAAGTAATTATGGAAGGTTTCTGCCACTGCTGCTACGCGGCAACAGCCTGTTTGGTTGTACAGTCAGGAGCATCATGTGTGTGTGCGCGCGGGGGTGGGGCGTGCATGCGTGCGTGCGTGTGTGTGTGAGTGTGTGTGTGGTGTGTGTGTACGTGCGTGCGTGCGCGCGTATGTGTGTGTGCGTGTGTTTGTGTAGGTGTGTGCGCGCGTTGTGTGCGTTAGCACGGACTTGCGGAATTACCGTATTTTTTCATCAAATGTCCAAAGAAAATTTAGCAGACGTGCAACCGCATGAATCTTCAAAATAAGCACATACGTTATTGTTATATCTTTAATTTTGAACTTCAGACTGCGGACTCTCTCTTTTTGCTGCGGACTCTCTCTTTTTGAGGGCAGGGTTGGACTCCCTTGTTCAAAAGTTCATTTCTACCCCTGATTACGTGTCGATTAATCCTACATGCACAGTGATTATGGAGACCGTAGCATGTTACAGATAATTTAGGTAGTAATTTAGGCGAGTAGTGCATATATGATATAGTTTTTTCCATTCCAACTAAAAAATGACATTCACGTTACAGTCTATACACTATAATACAGCTATATGGGCCTACAGGCTATACACGGCTACAGTCCAGAGTCACTGCACAGGGACTTGAGGCGAAAAAAAAAGTGTTATATATATAAATATTCCTATTTATATATATAACACTTTTTTTTTTTCGCCTCAAGTCCCTGTGAGTCACTGATTCCAACATTAAAATATGATTGCTCGTTGCATTGCCTGAGAGGCAAGTTGATTGGAAATTCCTAAACATACCATCCACTTGCCCACCGGTAGTAAAAGATGCGTCGTCTGGCATTGGTAAAATCATAAACAATGCCGACGTATACACTTGTTTGAAATAAACTAACACAGACACTAACTAACTAGAACAGCGAACCGAGCTAAACCACTGGCTCAGAAACCCCAAGATAAACAAAATATCACATGAGCCGATGGGTACCCCTAAACACCGAAATGACTCTAAATGCTCCTATATAGTTAACTCTCGAAATGACAAAAATGATTCCAAATGCCTCGAAATAACTCGAGATGCACATACTTAACTCTCGGAATAACTATTAACGCTCTTGAACACCGATGAAATGACTGCGAAAATGTCAACGCAAATGACTCGAAATGCACGATATTAAGTATACTAAACTCTCGAAAAGACTCTGAATCAGATCTTTATCGATGAATGGAATTAATATTTTGGCTGCATACTGCCAAGTTTACATATTATTATATTAAGGGGAAGTGCATATGACAACTGGCAGTCCAGTCATTTTTTCTTAAGTGATTACGTGTCAACGGGCAATAGTTTCTAGCAAGCCATCAACGTAGTAATATTTGTGTTGTTATGTTGTAGTCCAACATAAAAAATGCTATGAAAATACAATTAGTGTTTCTGTTTACTTTGTCATGCTTATACTACTTCCTTTATATCGCCCTAATTTGCCGGTGAAAGCAACAGAGAGACAAGCTGCCAGTATCTGAACAGTACTGGGGAATAGGTGTTAGACCACAGAAAATTACGCAAACTCGTCTAGATTTTTGCCACAATTTACACCCACGTAAAAACAATTTTAATATCAGGTGAGAGTTTTGAAGGATATATTTAGTAACGTTTAGTTTCTTACTTTTAATGTAAAAAAACTGGCAAATTATTTTTTTTCATAAGACAAATTTTAACAATAGAAAATTCGTGACGCTAGTCCCTTTACTTTCGCACAAGTGCCTATAGCTATAGTTGTATACCAAATGATCGCCCGTTCGAGTATAGCGGCCGGGAACGCCGTACATGTTTTAAAATGTAAATGAAATAAAGAAGCTTTTAAAGCTAGAAACAAATAGATTGTCTAAGTAAGTAGCTTAATATATATATATATATATTAGTTATATATTACAATCTATGATTGCTCATCTTAATAATGATAAGTGGCCGAGTTTTCGTGGCTGACGTTTCCAGCTAACGACATTCACCGTGACCACCTAATAAATGTAATTTTCTAATAGATTGGTAATATATGATATACATGTGTCCATACATGGCTTAGCGTGCAGTGTGATCTATACAGCCGTTATCAAAAATAATTAAACGCTAATTGTTGGCTAGAAATTTATATCAATTTGAGGATGGTGAGGCACATTCGCCCAATTCACCCTCTCAATTTAACTCAATGATAATGTGCCTCATATGTCCTTTCCCCTGCATTTTCTTTTAGTATAGGAAGAAAGCCACGTTCGCACGGCCATGCTAGTATCCCGTCCAATTCAAAAAACAACATGTTGATTGAAATTGTGGGTTTCTTTAAGATGGAGCAGGCAACATTCTGGATATAAATCGTTGGATATAAGAATATATATCCCCGATGCCGCGGCACATTTTATATGACTAGTGTAGTTTTTTTGGCGGTTGACGTGACACATTGGACTAAAATATTAGATGGCGAGTGTGTGTCCTACATAATGTTGTGGCAGCTCTATATCCAGGCCTTAATCAATCTGAAATAACTAGTGATTTTGTTGGGCAACATTATACTAATTAATTTGAGGAGTAACATTACCAGACAGCCTATTTTAGAGAGCTAATTCGCACAGACGAGACCCGCGTTCCGCTCTTGTTTAGGCGGAAGCCCTGTATGAGCTCGCGCTTATGGGGCCAAGTGTCGGCATGACTGATTCGTTAGCGAAATCAATGGATTTGTGTAAACGAAAATCAAATGATTTCTGTAAACGAAATCAACGTCTACAAAGTCGATTTCCGCTACGAAACAACTACTNGCGTGTGCGTGTGTGTGTGTGTGTGTGTGTGTGTGTGCGTGCGTGCGTGCGTGTGTGTGTGGAGGTGTGCGCGCGCGTGTGTGTGTGGAGGTGTGCGCGCGCGTTGTATGCGTCCATGCGTGCGTGTGTGTGTGCGCGCGCGTTGTGTCGGTGTGTACATGCCTGAGTGTAGAGAGAAGGATCCCTGCACTCTCCTGCCGCCCCCTCCCTAGGCCTACATCTATAGATACGTGTACATTACCGGCTACTATACTAACATCGATGACGCTGCGCGTGTATTAGCCGTTTAGCGTAGTGGAGATATTTGCCGGCCAGATCAGTGTAGATTATCTGGGTGGAATGGCTAATGGGAAGACCTATCGGTAGAGATAGTGGTATAGAATCATCTCGTGTTCATTCTAAGAACTAACGATGCAGTGTTGCTGTTTAGCATAAACTAGACAACTGTGGCGTATTTTGTAATTTGTATGAAAAATGTCAGAAACTGTTGAATTTGTGAAAAATGTCCCGTGTAGGTTCTATCTTGGAGTAATAAGCTGATACAAGCTAACAGTAACATAAGTATAAGCAAGTCAACTTATTACTCCAATGTTCTATTTAAGGGATGTTTCAGGGATTTTAAGGTGTGATTCAGCGTTTTCCAGTCTGTATTGTAAAGGTAACATATAGCGTTGATTGATATATCGATGTGTCTCTTATTTCTCTCTCTCTCTCTCTCTTTCTCTCCCCTCACTCTCTCCCTCTCCCCCTCGCTCTCTCGCTCC